GGGGGAAAAGAGGAGGAACTGAACTTTATGATACAAACACAGCCTGTGAGAGAGCACGAGCTAAAGTACATCTTCCACAATTACAAAATAAAAGCTGACAATTGGCTATTGCACTATGAGTTGAGCATCCCTAATCTGAATATTTGAAATCCAAAATGAGTCAAGATCCAGAATATTCTGAGGGCTGACGTGATGCTACAAGTGGAAAACCCACACTGACCCTGTGGTGGCTGCAGTCGACACGATACAACACAGAAATAGTGTGAAAAGTGTCTGGCTCATCCATTTACTTAAAGACAATTTTAATGGCAGAGGGCACACTTATAAAAGACAGTGTGAGAGGGGCCGGCAGGTGGCGTGGTGGTTAGGAGTGCCGGACTCCCACATGGTCGACCGCAGTTTGAGTCTCGGACCCAGCGGCTTGCTTTCTCGCTTTCCCTCTCTCTCTCTTTCACTCTGTCTATCTCTGGTCAAATGAAAATAAATAAATGGCTAGAGAAATAATAAAGTTTAATAAAATAATTCTTAGAAAAAAAAAAAAACAAACAGAGTATGAGAAAGAGGAGAGAGCCCCAACAGGGCCCAGTCAGATCACAATCCTTTTGCCTTCCACTTTTTTTTTTTTTTTAAAAGAGGTTTTTGCCTTAGGACACATGTGCTCCCTGGAAAGAGAGACAGACAGGCACAATGAGAGGGAATGTGAGAAATCATCCCTCAGGGAAAATAGCCATGCCCTCTAATCCCTTCTCCATTTTCCTCCCCAGGTCTTGTGCAAACATGCACACACGCACCCCTGGTGTGATTTTGAAGCCGCCAGGTCTGAGACTCAAACTGCAGTTGGCCGCGGAGTCCAGAGACATAACCCATAGGCTGTCTTCCAATTTTTTATCCCTTCAGGATCCTGGGTACACATGCATGCGCCTAATGTGTTTTTCAAGCCATCAGGCCAGCATTCGACTCTGGTCAGCCATGTGGATCCTGCTCAGCGCTTCGTTGCTACACTAAAGGACTGGCCCACCAACTATGAATCTTTTTCTTTCTTCATGACAGAGTACGTGCACATGCATATGCGAGAGAGAGAGAGAGAGAGAGAGAGAGTGTGTGGGCAAGTGAGCAGCACCCTCCGCAGTGTGCGGCACGCTGTGATCCCCTTCCTACAGTCCGCCAGCTGTCAGATCTTAGGCACCTGTGCATGTGCTTGGAATGTTTCATGCTGACTGGGCTGGGGGTCTGAACTGTGGTCAGCACATGGGATCTGGCTTCTTTTAAACAGCACATAACTGCTGCACCATGGAGCTGTCTATATGGATAGCTTTAAAAAAGAGCTTTCATCTCTACCTCCATTAAATTCCTCAAAAATTCTACATAGAAAAAAAATTCCTACTTATTTATAAGCACTGACTAGTTGCTTTATATACAACATTCCAATTCGACTTTAAAATACCCCTTCAGGTCCTGATCTTAGGAGAGGAAAACCAAGGCTCGAAGTTATGATTTACTCAAAGACAAAGTGAGGGGTCAGCAGGATCCAAAGGTCTTTGGAGTTTGAGCCCAAGTTCTCAACTCCCTGTTCATCTGATCCAGTTAAGTAGTTCAACAACCCAGGGGATGATTTTTGTCTTTTAATAATGGACCTGTATTTGGAGTTTCTAACATTGTGGCATCTATAAAATCTGTGCTGTAGGTATCTTATGCCTGTTCTGTGAGTTCCTTCATCGTCCTGGATGGTCTACTAGATGGGGCTGTGTGTCAAAGGTTCCCTGAAATGTCTCCAAGGCCAGCTTGGCCATTAAACGTTAATGCTAGGGCCAGGCAATGATGTAGTGGTAATTCAACTGGACCGGCATGGGAAAGGTCCTGGATTTGCATTCCAGACCTTGCTGAGCACTCTGGACATGCATGTGCCTACGACCTGGGCTGGCTGAGATTAGGTGTGGATTGTGGCATGGAGAACCTATTGGAAATGTCTCTCTCACGAAAGTAAATAAAAATGCTCACTTGAAAAAGTAAATGACAAGATTATGATTTCCTTCTTCCAGAAGCGTGGCCTCCGTGAACATAGCCCAGGTTGAGAGGCCTTTCCCCGCTGTGGCAGCTACTTCAGACTGCTAACTCACCCTGCATGATCAACCAAAACCTCTCATTTCCTCCATCCTGGGTCAATACGAGGAAATGTCTTCCTGCATGGCCTGCCAGTCTCTGTTAAAGTTGACGTTGTGGGAGACCTGACCTGGTGCCTACCCTGTGAGCATTTCTTGGGCTTCACTCTGCCCTCCACCGTGGAGTTCTCCACGCCCTCTCTGCCCCTGCTACATACGAAGCATGCTTCCCTGGCATTTCAGAAGGTCAGTGTTCATGGTGTACTTCTGAGAGCACTCTTTAGATGCTGGTGTTTACCTAATTCCTAGTCCCCCATCAAACAATCTAAATTGCTTCATCTTGTCCTTAATGATTCACCAGGAAGTGATCGGGCTTCGGTCAGTCCGTACACCACTGGGTCATCATCTGCCAGCCCAACTGCTCCAGCAAGAGGGAAAAATAAATGGGAGCAGCCAGCCAATGACTCAACAGTTATTTACATTTATTGATTACTAAGGAATGCCTTCTTCTCTATGTTTGTATTTTATTCATGGTTATATTTTTTCTTTTAAAAAAGAAGTATTTAACTTTATTATTATTATTTTTTAATTTGACTAGAGAGAGACACAGAGAGAGAGGGAGGGAAAGTGAGAAAACAAGCCACCAGGTTTGAGACTCAAACTGCAGCCAGCCACGTGGGAGTGTGGTGCCTTAACCACCACACCAGCTGCTGGTCCTATCATGGTTATATTTTTATGATACAAAAATACATAGGGCCACATGGCTGACTGCTGAGTTCAAGTCCTGGCCCCAATAGCTTGAGAAACATGTTGGGCACATGTGCATGCATGGCCCAAATCCCAATAGGATGAAGAAGTGGAAGAGAAGGAACTGGGGTGTTACCATTCCCCACTGGGGGGTATTTATTTCCTCTCCCTCTCAGGTGTGCACAGGTACCCTCTGGGGCCAGCAGGTGGCATAGCGGTTATGTTGCTGGATTCCCACACAGCCCCAATTGCAGTTTGAAGCCCAGACTGTGGCTTGACACTCACACTGGGTGCATGTGCGTGTGTGCCCCAGAACCCAAGAGGAGAATGGAGAAGGGACTGTGGCATGGCCATCCCCACTGGGGGGTGATTGTTTCACTTTCTCTGTCTGTCTGTCTCTCTGGTGAGCACATGTACCCTAAGGTAAAAAACTCTAAAAAAAAAATACGTAAAACATTTTAAGTGCTGGAATGCATTATCTACCTTGTACTAAGGACAGACAATTCTCAGACCACTAGAACATGAATATTACTGGTTTTTTTCTTTAACTTTTAGGGGAAAGGAGAAAAAAATTCAGTATTATAGTTTAATAGAAAAATAATCATTAAATCAATCAATTAATGCCCTTTAAAGCTTCAGTCACATGTGAAGTAGATTTGTTAAGGCTGAAGATGAAAAGATTCACAGTCAGAATCCGGCCGCTTCAGCTCTACAGAAGTCATCCCAACATAGACCCCAGAGCTGACTAGACATTTTGTCTAACTCTGCAAGCACCAAAACAGGTTAAAAGCAAAACAAAGTAACACACGGAAGCCTATTCCTAGACTGCTGGCTGAACAGTGGGTCCCTCTGTTCACTGGGACAGCTATAGTTCAGCTATAGTTCTTACCTGCTCTCCGAGAGACTGATCCAAGAATTTAGAATGCAACTGATGGCAAGAGGCGAGAGAGAGACTCTTCATCTGTGAAAAGAAAATGGACAGTGGCAGACACAACACAGGACATTTCCGACTGTTTTACTTATTTTTAGTGTGCTATAGGGTACATGTGTTCGCTGGATAGAGACCGAGAGAAAGGAAAGTGAGACAGCACCCCCCACCCACCCACCCCACACACACACAGGGCGGATGGTCATGCCTCAATCCCTTGTCCTCCACACTCCTCTTGGGACACTGGGCATGAATGTGCACACACCTGCTATGGAATCCAGCTGCCTTAACCTCTGTGCCATCTGCTGGCCCTCTGATTGTTTTAAAAGTTAACCGTAGGGGCCAGCAGATGGCATGGTGGTTAAGGCACTGGACTCCCACATGGCTGATGTGGTTCAAGTCCCAGACTTGGCAGCTTGAAAATCATGCTGGGCATGTGTGCCCAAAATCTCAAGAGGAGAATGGAGAAGGGACTGTGGTGGGGCCATCTACCCTGGGAAGGGGGGCGGTGACTTCTTATTTTCCTTCTCTGTTTCTTTCTCTCTCTGGCAAGCGTACGTGCCCTATGGCAAAAACAAAACAAAACAAAAACAGAAAAAAACATGCCCTTTTGCAAAAACAAAACAAAACAAAAACAGAAAAACTAACTTTAATAACTAACCTCAGAACTGATGTAGTAGATTTTATTCTGAATGACTACCTGTACAGATCTGGAGAGAAAAGGTTCATGACCAGAAATTATATAACAGTTTTTTTCTGGACCCGTTGGTAGGATGGTGGTTAAGGTGGCTGGATCACACATGGCCCGACTGTGCAGTTCAAGTTCTGGACCCGGTGGCTTTGATGCACACTGGGCACATGTGTGTGCATGCCTAAAATTCTGAAAAGAGGGAGATGGAGAAGGAACTGCAGCATGAACGCTTCCCATGGGAATGTCTCCTCATTTCCCCTCTCCTGTTTCTGGTAAGCACATGCACTTTGGCAAAAAGTAAAAACCAAAACCAAAAGCAGTTCTCCCTCCTAACCGTCCTACGTATTTCAGCCCAGAGAAATGGAATACTTCCGTGCTCTGGGGTATACAGGTAATAATCCCTTAGATTAGAAGTAGAGCAGTACACAACATTCTAATATTTCTTTCTTCCTCTCTTCTTCCCTTCTCTGCTTTGCTCATTCAATATTTATGGAGTTCTCACCATAAGCGACATTGGGTTAGGTCTCAGGAAATCAGAGACAGACATGACAGGGCTCCTCCTAACATTTTCATGAACATGACTGCATTTAGCCAGGAACAAGGTTATGAGAGGCAGGACAGACTGTATTAATCTTATTTTCCAATGTCGATAAATAGCTTAAACATGTGGGGCCAGGAGATGGCCTAACAGTTACTGTCTCTGGAGTCCTACACGGCCAACTGCAGTTTGAGTCCTGGACCGGTGGCTTAAAACTCACACCGGCCATGTGTGTGTGTGCGTGCGTGCCCACCCCACCCCCCGGGGAGTGATTTCTCACTTAACTTCTCGCTGTCTCTGTCTCTCTCTCTCTGATGAGTACATGTGCCCTACAGCAAAAACCTCTTTAAAAAAAAGGAGCTTAAACATGTAATGGAAGATGAAATGTTAAAGAAGCAGATCAAAAGTGTGACTGGACGGTCTAAAAATTGTCTTTGAACAACCTAGGCCTTGGGGTGAGCTCTGTCTAGTTGCTAACCCTGTTACTGGTTCACATGTGCGACAAGGTGTCGGTTGGAAGAGTTTCTCCCAAGGAAACAAAGAACATTCACACACGTTACAGGGGAAGGAAGAGGTTTCAGAGGAATCTTACCTTCTGGTCAAGGTCACTTGTTAGGAACCTGATGGCTACAGGTTCTGAAGGTTTCTTTTTAGTCCTCTTGGCATTCCAGTTTTGAATCAGCTTCTCTGGCTGGCAAGAGGCAAAGAGCAATCCAAAAATCTGGGCTGCTGTGATCCACACCCAGCTGTGTGGATGTCGCAGGTGAGAGTGCACATGACCTAAGGGAACCAGAACGCGTCCTCAGATGTCGCAGATACGATAACGGAGTATGTGTTATGCGCTTGGAGTAGAAACCCAAGATGCACAAAACAATCTCTGCTTCTCAGAGAAAGGAGAGAGTGAGATGAAGACACTGGAAACAGCTTGAAAAGCAACTCCTAGTGAGATAAATGACTCTGAAGAGGGGAGAGTACCAGTTCCACAACTCAGTTCCGATTCAAGGGAGAGAAAGGAGCATTCACACTTACGTGTTGACAGAGGCATGCACACATGTCCACACATACATGTCTGTGTCTAGGAACTAGTATAAATGGCAGCTGTGTGTAGCTGCCCGGAGAGCTACCGTTCCCTGAGGCTCTCTAGGTGCCAGGCACAAGGCTAAGTGTGCTACGCGTGT